CGAATCATGAAATAATGAACTTGGCTCAGAAGTAAGAAAAACATTAACAGACGCACTTTGCAAGAACACCCGTGCTGACTTCTTTTTGTCATAATGATCTTAGGTTTGAAAGAGGAAAAGCATTAGCAGATGCACTTTGCAAGACACCACACTGACTTCTTTGAATTTCGTTGGCAATGATCTTGAATCATTCAGAAGAAAAAACATTATAGATACACCTTGCAAGAATGCAATGCTAACTTTCTTTGATCTTTGAAATAATAATCTTGGATCAGGAGAAGAAAAAGTATTAGTTGATGCACTTTGCAAGAACACCATGTTCATAATAGTCTTGGATCAGAAGGAGAGCTGATGCACTTTACAAGAACACCATACTGACTTTGTATCTTGGAGGTGATTCGATTTTTAATGGTCTTAGATCAGATGCACTTTGTGAGAATACTACCTTGACTTCGTATTTTCAATGTATTAACAATATTATTACTATTATAAAATAAATCAGTATACTACGATAAAATATAATTTACATATCTATACCTGACAATTGCATAATTAAAAATTGGGCATCTTTAAAAGTTGGAAACTTCTTACCAAGGCGTAATTTGAAAATTGACCGGTAACTTTGTTCTTTATAATTAGGTCTATAAAGTTACTGGTCAAAGTTCAAAGTTATGCTTCTATGATTGGGTGAAGAGTTTTATAGTCTGTATCTATTCGATATTATAAATCTTTTATATTGGTGTTTTTTTAAAAACAGGTGTACAGTTAACATTATTCTATAAATTGCGGTGTAATTTTTTTATCAATAAAAATTATGATTATTCGAAAATTGAACATTGTATGATTGTCGAATATAGACTACGTGCACCACTATAAATTATATAGATCCAAATGCAATTAATTTACTGTATGTATTAAGTTACGCCACTTTTAGAAAACAATATGAGAGCCGCAAAGCTAAAACCTGCATTTATTGATTTTCCGAAATCTAATTTTGCAAAAATGGCTTATCAGACCCCTGAAAAATATGGTCAACACTAGAGATGTATCTCGCACGAGATAAACCTAGCATGCATTTCACATATTGCACGCGCGACTTTGTCGCGCGAATTCATGAGTCTCATGTGATAAAAATCCATTTTAGATTATATGCTTGAAATTTCATTAAAAATTTCTTAATCGAATAGTTTATCTCGCGAGAATCGTGTGAGATCGCGGGTGCGATAGTTTTATCGCTTCGCGCGAGGTACATCTCTAATCAACACATGAAATTAAGCACACCAATTAAATATTATAGTATTATATGTATAATATAAAAACCACCAACGGTGTGTTTAATTTCCCACGAGATTAAATTTATCAGGGGTTTGATCAACCCGTTTCTGTAAAGTAATTCAACCATTAGAACTGAACAACTAACTCTATAATCTTTGTTAGAAACTTACTTTGCGTAAAAAAAAACGCTTCATTGTAAGCTAGCTACATTCCAACCCTATAAAAAACCATATTAACTTCCGGCAATTTCTACTATTAAATTTGCGATTTTTATGTCCTTTAGCTTTGATTTATCTATTAAATTATTCGCTTAACCATTTTTAAATTTTATACGATTAATCGTTTAATGATAGTTTAATGCCTCATATAGAGTCAAAAAAATATGCATATGGTAAATTGCATGTACTGTACAGTAAATTATTAATCGGATTTTATTCACACAACAAATGTGTATCGCTAGCATA